ATAGAGAAGAAGTGGCCAGCAGCAGGACAGTTTATTTAGTAAGACTAGGCCAAAATGTAGAGAAGAAGTGGCCAGCAGCAGGACAGTTTATTTAGTAAGACTAGGCCAAAATTTAGAGAAGAAGTGGCCAGCAGCAGGACAGTTTATTGAGCAAGACTAAGCCAAAATGTAGAGAAGAAGTAGCCAGCAGCAGGACATTTTATTGAGCAAGACTAGGCCAAAATGTAGAGAAGAAGTGGCCAGCAGCAGGACAGTTTATTGCGCAAGACTAGGCCAAAATGTAGAGAAGAACTGGCCAGCAGCAGGACAGAAATTATTGAGCAAGACTAGGCCAAAATGTAGAGACGCAAGGCACAGGGTTTCCATACATAAATTAAGAGCGTCAACCCACAGATGTTATAGCTGTGTAAAATTGGTCAGCAAAAAAAAAAAAAAGGAGATTGGGCCTAACCAGTATATTTCTCCTATGAAGATAGCGGGGTGCATTGAATGTGAGTAATATCATCTGAGGAGGTTTAGCTGCACACTGTTCTTGTACTTAGTTTTTTTGGGTTGTTTTTGTTAAATGATGCAGCGGGGTCCTCCTAACAAAGCGAAGCTCCAAAAACAGACGGCCAGCAACAAGTCAATGCTGCGCTTTCAATTAACCCCTTCATGACCGAGGCCATTTTATTTCTTTTATGTTTACATGTTATAATCCACATTTTAGGCCTGAAAATTACTTAAAACCCTCAAACTTTATATATTTTCTGAAAGCCAAGAACCTGCAGAATAAAATGGCGGCAGTTGCAAATTTTTATGTTGCATAATATTAGCGCAACTCCTTATCAAACCCCAAAATTTAGTGAAAAAAGCACTCAAATGCCCCAAAACACAACAACATACCCATTTTGTTAATGAAATTTAAAAGATGAGGTTACTATGAGTAAATAGATACCCAACATGCCCGGGTTTAAAAATGTGTGCGTCCGTGAAACTGCAACAAAATTGAGTACCCCACAAGTCCACAGACGACGCTTTAAAAGCCCCCCACAGGTCATCAGTTTAGAGATATACGTAAATATTGGCCCTAGAATTATTGCTCTCACTCCGGCGTGCGTGGCGATACCCAACATGTGTAGTGCGATCGTCGTTTTCATACCTAGGTGCCCCCGACGCGTGTTTATGTGAAGATGTGCGGGGACTTTAAAAAACATTTTTTTTTTTATTATTTATTTCATTTAATATTCATTTTAAAAACTGTTATTTTTTAAAACTTTAATTGCTACCCCATAGGGGGGCTTATAGCCCCCCATGTGATAGCATATTGGCAGTGACAGGTCCTCTTTAAGGTGATACTGGGGGTCCAAAAGACCCTTTACACCCTAAATAAGCTATTGAAGTGCAGATCGAAGGCTTCAAGTGTAAAGCTGGCAGTCGGCTTTACAAATGTAAACAGAGTCACAGCGGCAAAAGCCACCGGGAGTATGTTTAAATGGGCCCGATGCCAGTGACGTACACTGTATGTCACTGGTCATGAAGGGGTTAAAAACGTAAAAATAAAAGGCCCTAGCGACATAAACCCTAACCCCCAAATAGACTAAACACCCGTAAATACCCCCCCTGAAGGATAAGCCTTGCAGCAAAAAAAAAAAATATGTTACAAATAGGGATGAGCCGAGTGTTCGATTCGAACATTGGCAGTTCGAGCGCTCGCCGAACGCCGAACTTTATGGGATGTTCGCGATTTGTTAAAGTCTTGCACTTGACTGCAGGTCAGGTGCAGGAGTTTGCCCAATCAGGGCTCAGCGGAGGAGGGGCCTGAAGGAGAAAATTCTCTACCCGGTCCCCCCACGCTGATTGACAGAAGCATTTTACAATATCCAATGGCAGGCTGGGTATGGCTCCCAGCCTGCAATGAAGAGGAGGCAGGGGGGCGGGGCAGAGGTGCGGCGGCCGGACGGGGGAACGGAGAAGCCGACGGACCAGGAGAAGATAGCAGCAGAGGTACGGGGGCAGCAGAGCAATGCAGCGGTCTGTGTCACCGCTGCCTCCGCCAACACCGGCGGGGAGAACAGCAGGGATCTGAAGGGACACAGGCCGCTGCAGCCACATGTACCGGCAGCTGTATGGGGGTCGAACATTCGACCCCCCATACACTTGCATTGAGTTCGAGTTCCTACTCGAACATTTCGGCGGTTCGAATGTTCGAATACGAACCGGACACGGGGGTGTTCGGCTCATCCCTAGTTACAGACAGGCCACCAATCCACCACAAACTATAATTAAAGACAAAAAAGAATGATAAGAACACACTCCTCCCCCCTCCACAAAAGAAGGCAGCAAAGGGGTAATTGGCCAGTGAAGCTAGCAATCAAACGTGTTGCTGCCGCAGATAATGCTCCT